AGTAAAAACTACCCCCAGGTTTTTTCTATATGATAATTAGGCATTGCCTGGCAGTCGGATGATAGGATCCCCTTACCACATGTAAATAAAGCATACTATGAGCACCTATCAGCTGAAGCATTGGCTGCTGCCTCCACACTATATTTTCCCTAGTTCTCCCACTGAATAAACGGAGCTGTTTCACTGAGTCTGGAGCTGTTTGTGTCTCTGAACCTGCCTCCACGGAAGGGCTTTCTTCTGTCAGTGCTCACTGGCCGTCCTGACCCCTTTTGTTGCTTCTGCTCCCTTTGTCCTCGTGGACCAGTGGCCAATGACCCACGAGGGGAGGGAGAGACACCACACCACTTGCCACCTGTGCCCATCCAGGAGCTCTGGGCAGACTTTCTGGGGGCAAAGATCCCCAGCCCCAGGAAGGTGTAGTCAGGAGGGCATCCTTGTTTAAAGAAAATTCTGTGAATAGATTCTGCACTGCGAGGCTGGGCTCAGAAATCTGCATTTTTTTAAAACCACTATGAAACAGGATTTAATAAACTAAATTTACCATTCTTTGGATGGCATTCACCATATTGGTAAAGATTAAAGAGCTGATGACATTCAACAAAATATGGAATGCTGCTGATGCTAACAGTCAAAAAAAAAGCTTTTAAAACCAAAGCTTTTATCATAGCCATTGCCATGAAAATCCATTTCATCTTTTAGCCAATCCCTACTGCCCAGAATTTGAAAATGAAACACTAAATTAAATCAGAAGTATAACACAGGATTGCCTAGTATCAAAAAAATTCATGTAACAAAATAGTGGACTTCAGTATTTCCAACACATGGACACACACACTCCTATTAGGTACAGAATATGATGGCCACATGTGGCAGCAGTGAAGAGTCATCTTTTCCTATTAGTTGTGTACTCCACACAGTAACAGGTACATTAGCAAGTCATGAAGCACCAGGTGTAGATATCTGCATTTTGAACAGAAGCCTTGGTTTTTCCATATAGCTCTCCAATGCAAGAGAGAACCTCAGACCAGCACTAATGCAATTATGCACAGGAGACTCAGGCAAGAGCTCTGCCTTCAGGAGTCACCAGGGTAGAGAAGGTTCCAGGTGTTGTTCCTGAACCCCTAAGGGATCACTGGGAAATAAACCTTTTTTTATTTTTCTTTTTTTTTTGGTCTTTTTGAAGCAGGGTCTCCCTGTAGCCCCAGCTGTCCTGGAACTTACTATGTAGACCAAGCTGGCCTTGAACTCACAGAGATCTGCCTGCCTCTGCCTCCCAAGTACTGGGACTACAGGCGTGCGCCACCATGCCTGGCTACATTTTTTGTACATTGAAAAGTATGTGGCGTGAAATGTTTCACTCAGAACTCAGGTGTTCTTTGCAAGCATCTTGCCTGACGGAGACATTTCATTAACAAGAACCCTGAACTCCAGAAAAGCCAGTTTCTGTGTCTATAGACAGGCCATGAGGAAAGGAGGCCTAGCCTCTGCCTCCCAGAGCCGTGGGCACCGTTTCTAGAGGGTTAGGGCTGACACCATCTCCCTGCTTCTTTAGAGACTGTTTGGAATGTACCTAGGCAAACTAGTTTCGTTCATAGTTGTGGTAACTAGGCTCCTGGATTTGGGGGCTTCAGATTATTTTGTGTTGCCCTGAAGGGCTGAAGGTCTTTGATGTCTCTCCTGGAAATTTAGGTCCCCAGTAGGGATAGGTGAGTGGGGAAGTACTTCCTTAGGCTCAGAGCTTCCTGAGGATCTGTGCCCCCATTCCTGGGTATACCACTCAAACATTGCTCCTAAGGAGCATGGGGCAGGCCCTGCTACTGCATGGAATCTGCAGTCAGATCTGATCATTCTGAGCCCTGTGACCAGCAGGAGGTTCTGGTCATACAGCAGAGGTGAGTGAGGCACCATGACCAAGCCCACTCTGCTCCAGAGATGAGGCAGCTGTGCTGTTCTTATTGATCAATGTCATAATCCCTCTTTCTAGTTCCTCTTAGGCTGGCTGGGCCTAACAGCACTCTCTCAAGACTCACTCAGGAAGGTGCTAAGTGAGCATGCATCACCCAGTGCTACTGCTGTGCTCATGTTTCGATCTGAACCCCAAGTAGTTAGCCATTGCCCACACATTCATTATAGCCAATAAAAATATGTTCTAGAGATGTCTGCTCTGTGCTGGCACTGTCCTATGCCTTATGGAGCCCATTGCCCTGGAACACTGAGGGGCAGGGAAGGGTAATGATCCTTTTATACAGGGTGCTCAGGAAAGGACTCATTGATGAAGGAGCATTGGAGCAGAGCCTTAAATGGACATGTGGGGATTAGGGAAAGAATCTTCCAGATAAAAAGAATGTGAAGCCCTGAAAGCTATAGGAAAAAGAGACTCACTGTCACCACATCCCTGACATGACTTTCCATGTTTCTGTCCCCTGCCTCCTTGTCTCCTGCAGCACCTCACCTGCCAGCTCTTGTTCCACATACTTGAGGCTGTCATGCCTCAGTCCCCTCCATCACACCTTTCCCTGTATGCCATGGCCCTTTCCTCTCACTCTGCATCCCTTTCCAGTCTTCAGTGATAACTCCTCTTTGAAGCGTACCTTTCTTTCATAAGCCTTGTTTGGATCACTCACACCCCCACCACACATACTTTGTAAAAAGAAATTGTTTTGGTGTTTCGTGCATTCTCCCCCATTAATCCGAGCAGGTCTGATCCATCTGCCATTGGTAGGTTCCCAATAAATGAACATGGAAGGAATGATGGAGCACAGAGAATTTTCCCACAATCCAGTTTCCATGTCAGAAGCATGGAAATGAATTCTGAGGATAAGGGGTGACTCCAGGCTGACATCCAGCCCTACAAATAAAGGGGGCAGGTCCTGCTAAAGACTGCCTTCTCTGGGAAGGAGCTGGCAAGGCACAGGCTTTGCCAGTACTCCTGCATCCTCAGCTCTTAGAGCCACACGCTTGCCCCACTTCTGGATACATCGGAGATTGATTTTGCTTGCCTGCCTCCTCCAAAATGCTGCTGCCTCTAGGGAGGAACTCAGCATCTGCTTAGCAGGCCAAGCAAATAAAACAAGCTACTGAGGAGAAGTGAGGTCTATGCATCCACTGTAGCACTGAGGGGCTCTGGGGTGGTAGAATTAAATGATTTTCACAGAGCCACATGAGACACAGCCCTCAGCACCACTTCAGAAAGTCACCCATCTCCTGTCCCACACCTACTCCACAAGCATCTGCTGAGTCTAGGCCATACTCAGGAGCAGAACTCAGCTGGTTTAGTAATAAGTCCTGAAGGATAAGTTCATTGTGGCCCAGATGAAGCAGTGGCTAACAGAGCACAGATTGTGGGCCTGAGCACTGTAGCCTTGTGGCAGGTATGGGAGCTGAAGAAAGGGCTACAGCACCAGGACTCCAGGTCCAGCGCTGTTAAGTGTCTCCCTTGCTAAAATGGCTCAGAAGAGGCAGTCACCACCTTAATTAAATTCACAGCTGAAGTGATATGGAAGGTGGTGTGAGCACCAGAGGGACAGTCCTTACTGTATAAGGGAAGAACAGGCAGGAAATAACACAGTCGTCTCCACCTGGGACAATCAGTCAGCAGGCATTCTGAGGATGTGGACTCGGCCTTCAACAGTCTGATGCCTCCAGGGCCAGCCAGAGGTGTCAGGTCTGCCTCTGCTGTTCCCCTTCCTCCCCACAGTAGAGGTCAGAGCAGGACTCAGCCACAACAATTGCTGGCCTTGTCATAGGATTGTGAAGGAGGTAGAAATGGATGCAGAAGCCAGGGAGGGGAGAAAGGAGCAGCTGCGGTCTAAAGTTGAGCAGCCTTTGCAGCCCCAGCACTTGTGCCAGTCCATCCTCTGCCTGGGCCACTCCACAGAAGTGTGGCAACCCTGCCTACTGGGCTGCTGGTCCTTCCTGAGGCACAGCCTTCCCTCTTCTAACTCAGCCACCTGAGTGGCAGAAGGAACTAAGGCTGAACTGGAAGGCCAGGGCCTTGCCCTGTTCACCAACCAGCTCTATGATTGCACTTTGAGAACATGAAACTGCCTATAGTATTCAGCTACTGGTGATAGGAATCTTTATGTCATTGGTCATAGTGACTGCCTCTAAACTCCCTGTCCCCTTTGGTCAGGAAGTACTGACATTTGGTGTCCCAGTCCATGGAGATTCTGAAGAGACTGCTGAAGCAGAAAGAATCTTTTGCTTTCCTGGGTGCCCTGTTGACCTGGTTTCCAGATCAGCAGCTTAGAAGCAAGGTATTAACCTTGAACCCCAAACTCGCAATGTAAACCATACACAGGATAGGGTCTTATGGCAAATCCACTGAGCTTCTTACTTATCTCCTTCCCTCTTCCCTGCCTATATCTCTTGTCTCCACAGGTAAAACAAGTCCCAGTTCTACCAAGCCCAACAATTGTGTGATTTCCTGAGCTGCAGGATAGTGGTGGGCAGAACCTACAGATGCCTACCGTTCCTGTCCTGTATTGTGGAGAGCACAGACTGTACCCTGCACTGGTTCGCCCATCAGATCTTGACCAGGCCTCCTACCTTGCAGCCTCCATCCTGGTCTCAGGGCTGAATCCTAGATGGGAGGTTTCGAAGTATCTCATCCATCACACGCCTCCAGCAGACTGTTGTAGCCGGCCAAGGAATACTGCTACCTTGTTTACATGAAGTGAGAGCTTGGCTAGGACCAGCTCTCCTTTATATCAACCTCTTCTCCACTGGATCAGCCCCATGCTACAAGTCCCCAGGTGGGGCAAATGCCATTCTTTCTGCCTCAGCGGGTCAGGAGCTCCAAGGCAGCTCCAACCACCTGACTTTTTCCTTGGGCTTCCTGGTGCTTTCTGGTCCCACCTACCTCATAGGTTGGTAAAGAAAGTTAAGAAGTTGGGGCTCTTAGCCAGTCTTGCTCCAGCTTTGAAGCTCCAGGTAGAAGATGCAACTGGGTCATTGGCTATAGTAGCCTTCCTGGCCCAGTCCCTGCTGGCTCTGAGTGGACTGGGAGAAAGATGCTACAGCCACCCTCCAGCCATTGGTAGAATCTGGCACTGCCAATGTGAGAGCCCCTTTCCCTCCCTCCGTACTGTAGTAGCCTACGTGCCCTGGGCCTCCTTGGCTGATGCCTGCTGCAGGGCTCTGGGCTTCTTAGAGTGCCTTTCCCTGGGCCTACTCCTTCTTTCAGTAGCCCTTGGGTTCACACCCTGGTGTAGGGTGAGGGTGCAGGGGAGGAGGCAGGGCCCTGTAGACAGGAGCATTTGCCCCTTTCCTCCCCAATGGTCTTTAGCCTCCTTCACCTATCAGGACTTCCTCAGTTAAATTTCAGCCAGACTAGCCTCAGCCACCTGCAACACATCAGGCTTTCTTGAACACCTCCGTTTTTCTAAAGCAGATTGTCTTAATTGGCACAGTTCTGAGCCAGGGCAACCAACTAGCAACCCCACACTGCAAACCCCCAATGTAGCTACCTGTTGGGGCTGAGGGCTGAGGAAGACTGTGCATGGGCACTGAAGACATTACCCAACTGTGACTCTAGGTCAGCCCTACCTGGGCAGGCAGAATGATAAAGGGGCAAAGGACCACATGGCAGCCCTTCTCTGCCTCTGAACCAAACTCTTGCCCTCTTTCTTTCCTTCTGAAAAGCCCATAGATACCACTAGCACTGGGAGAGGAACACAGGCACCTGCCAGGTCACTGTGGGCTGTACATGGTGGCCTGTGTATGAGTCTGGTCTCCCTGCTGGTGGGAAGGAAGGAAGAAGAGAGGCCTGAACCCAGGGTCCCCTTTGTCCACCCTGAAGTTATCCTCCAGAAGTGGGAAAGGGCTCTCATTCTGTATCCTCAGCCTTTGCTTTGTGAGAATTAAACAGTTCTAGTAACTGTGTCCTTATAAAAGGCTAGCCATGTGGTACATGCTTGTTCTAGGGAATGGGGTAAGCAGGTGATACGGGAGGTGGGCTGTTACACCTGATTCAGGTGGTCACCCTGAAGATGTAGAATACAAGATCACCAAACTGCAGTGGGGAATAGAAATTATCTACCAAGGGTGGTAACCTCGACCTAGGGAGGCTGTCATGTATCCTCATGACTTGCTTCATCCCTGTTCCATCACGCTGCTCTCCCAACATCTGGGAGGATCCTGGTGGAAGTTCAAAGTCTCTGCAGACTTGAGTCAGGCCCTCATTTCTGCCTCAATTTCTTTCTGTACCAATATGGGGTTCTCCCACTTTCTGTGGGAAGAAGAAATAAAGGAAGAAGCCATATGTTTAGGAGGAAGCAACTCTGGTGAGCAGAGTACTGGCCTCTTCCCTTCAGCCTCAGCTGCCTCATCCCAAGAGAGGGATGGGTAAGACTGTCTCTGCCCACCTCCAGCTCTGAAATGTGTGGGGGAAAAACAAAGTGCAAAAATTGCTAGAGACTGTGAAGTAAAAATTGAGCTCTTCCTGTTTATTTGTTTTCCTGAGCTCCGGCCCACTCTGTCTGGCCTCCTGGCTTCTCCGTTTTTAGTGTGACTGCCCTCTGTCAGGCACTTGCTCAGACATATGAAACATTCACTTATCACACCTCAAGCGCGCATCTGGTCTTCCCAGCTGGATGGCAAGTTTAGGAGTGGATGGTGCCCTTGGTCTCCACACACTGGCATTCACAGACTGTCAGAGTTGGAAAGGCTCTAAATGAAAAGGAAATTCTCAGAGCTATGGTTGGTCTTCACTACCCTCCCCACCTCGCCAGGGGAATACTTGACTGTTGTCTTCCTTCCTGAGCCCAGCTTCTCTAGGTTAACAGTTCAGTTCTGGAGCAGACTAACCCCCCAATAAACTGAGGTCCTTGGTGTTGGTGCCTCCCTGATCTCTGCCCCATAAGGGCAGGAAGCATGGGACTCCAGCATGGGCTGCAAGGCAGTCCCTTGAGATCTGTCAAGACTTTCCAGTCTCATGTGCCAGCTGTCTGTCCTTGGGCTGTAGTTCCTACCCTTGATCCCTCAATGGTGCTTTCAAAGAGCCTTATAGAGGGCCAGAAAGATGGCTTAGCAGACAAAAGCACTTGCAGCCCAGGCCTAATGACCTGAGTTCAATCCTGGAAACCTGTGATGGAAGGAAAGAAGCGACTCCCAAAAGTTATCCTCTGACCTCTACATGTCCACTGCGGCATGCGCACACCTGCCGACAATCATACCCAGCATACACACAATAATGGTAATAAAGTAAAAATTAAAACCTTATAGCAGGCCGGGTGTCGTGACACACGCCTTTAATCCCAGCACTCGGGAGGCAGAGGCAGGAGGATCTCTGTGAGTTCAAGGCCAGCCTGGTCTACATAGTACCAGGATAGCTGAGCCTAGGCTATATAACAAGATCCTGTCTCAAAACCAAAATTAAGCATGGTGGCACAGTTCTAGCAGAGGCAGGCGGATCCCTATGAGATCAAGGCCAGTGTGGCCTACATAGCAACATAGCAAGTTCAAGACCAGCTGGTGCTACAGGGAGACCCTGTCTCAAAAAGACCCCCCCCCAAAAAAAAAAACTTATAGCAAAGCTAAACCAAGGCAGGCCTGGAGATACAAAAGGAATTAGCTGAAGGGAGATTGTGGTTTTGCCTTACCTGCTGTGTCAGTCACTATACCAGATATTCCAGTCACACATTTCAAACTAAGACTAGCTCAGGAAGAATCCACTGCAAAGTCTGTAAGCAGTCTTCCTGTGCCATGAGTCTGAAAGGGTTGTGTGAAGGGAATTACACAGGTAATTCCCAGTTTTTAGGTGACAGTACATGGCTGTACCCAAGTCCCATATCTCAGAATGCAGATCTGAGCCTGCACCACAGGCTGTTAGCACTGGTGACTGGAGTTGCAGAATCTGTTAGGGGAGGAGCCGTGCTGCACACTGTAGGATGCTAAACAGCACCCCTGGCCTCTACTTCCTAAATTCCAGTAGTATCCCCCCAGATGAGACAACCAAAACATCTCCAGATATTACCACATGTCCCTGGGGAGGAAGCCCTAGTTAAGGCCCTGCCCTGTATTATGTTGCTCTGGCAGCCACATAGGTGGCTTTTCAGGAATGTTTCCATGTGCTGTGTACCGTTGTGTTCTTTTGGTTTCTCATTCAAGACAGTATCTAGCCCGGTTAGCTTGCAGCAGCCACTCCCAGCCTCCTGAGTGAGTGCTGAGATTACAGGTGTATGCCATCACATGCGGCTTAACCCTGTATGGCTTTGGCACAGTCCTCTGGCTCAGAGGTCGGCTACCTTGCCTGAGTTTCCTTTCTGGGACGTTTTCCACCTTTGTCCTAGTTCCCTTGCTTAGCTCTTCACTGCCTTGTTCTCCCTGGACAGGTGTGTTTATATGCACACATCTGCCTTCTTCCACTCACTGTCAGGTTTCCTCCCAGTCTGCTCCCTTTCCTTCAGTCTCAGTTATACAAAGCACCATGGGACAAACCTGTGTGTACCTAGGAGTGGCCCCCTCCCAAAAGGAGCCAGAACTGACAGCAAGGGAGCCTCCAAACCCAAATGAGGCAGAGTGGGAATTGCTATCTGACTGTCATGGCCACGTTCTGAACAAACATCACAAAGCCTCCTCAGCAGCTAATTAGTCCTGCCATGTGCCGCAGCTAGTTTATCACCTGGCACTTCTCTGTACTGATGTCTTCCTGTCCACAGGGTCCTGTAGCTGTTATGAATCCTCCATATTGCTTTTCCAGTGACACAAGATTTGCTCCAAAATGACACCCTGGGCTCAGTGAACTGAGCCTGACCAAGGTTGGAAGAATTCACCTTAGGGAAAGGCAGGTGTGGACAGGAAAGTATTCTTAGGCTAAGTAATTGCAAGACAAGCAGCTCAAAGGCCTGTCGTTAGGGCCAAACTTTCCATCCCTCCCTTCCAGGCTCCTTGCCAGCTGTGGAGCAGAAAAAGTGCAGCTTCCAGATAGTGTGCTCTGCAGCCTGGTACAATAGGTGCCCATTCTTCCCTGGCCAGGCTCTGGCCTGGTACAATAGGTGCCCATTCTTCCCTGGCCAGGCTCTGAGCACAAGGACCACATCTGTCTGGATCAATTTGGTAAGCACAGTATCTGCCTAGTTGGTTAAATGATTGAAGAGTTGACAACCAGGGCTGGTGAGATGATGTCTCAATGGGTAAAAAGCACTTGCTGCACAAGACTGATGACCTGTGTTCAATTCCTGGGACTCAGGGTGGAAGGAGAGGACCAACTCCCAATTTAACAGCTATTCAATATATAGAATAAGCCTGCCTAATAAATTGGGGCGGTCTCATGGGCACTCCACACTGACTCCAGGATCCAGGCCCCCTGCTGCTCAAAGGTGGCCTTCTCTGTGTGAGTCCTTTCAAAAGGAAAGCAAGGAAGAAAGAGGCCTTGAGATGAGCAGATTTGTCCGAAGCCACCTACAAGTCATGGGAAAGGCTGAGTCCATTTCTATGGACATCCTAGTGTACTGTCACTGCCATGACAGCCACTTAAGTTTTTATTCAGGAAAGTTAGAAGCTAGGTGTCTGAAGCCACCAAAAAGAACAGGAAGACGTGCTAGGACCTGCCATGGAAGCAAGCAAGCATGTAGGAAGGGAGCCTGCAGGAGGAAAGGAGAAAAAGGCAAGAACAGACAACATGCTCACAGTCCCCATGGCCCCGAGGGGAAAATAATCCATTGTGTGCCATGAGCATTGCCTTATGATTTGCATGTCTCCAGCTGGCAGCTCTGACTCTGTGGCCTGCTCTTCTTGGAAGTGGCTCAGGGTTGGGCTAATGGACAAGGAAGGGCAGTTCACTGCAGTGTATGCAGTCATTTGTTCAGTCAGTGGGTATTTACTGGGTGTCAGGCCTGGGGACACATGGAGGAAGACAACTTTGAAGACTGAGCAGATGCATGCTGTTTGTGGTGACAGGGTCGGGGCTCCCATGCTGGATTCTTGGGATATTCTCTCCCATGCTTCTTCCTTGGCACTGGCCAAGTTCATGGTGATCGGTTGGCACACTGGGCTAAACACCTGGAGGCTGTATCAAGGTCCAGGTTTAGAAAAAGGTAGAGAAAACCTGGCAGAGCTGCCATTTATGAGTCACTGCTTGGCAGGGACCCTCCCTCACCATGTCTCCACCTCAGAAAGATGGTAGCAGCTCTAGCTGGTTTCATGAAAGTCCCACAACTTTCCTTAACTAATAGTTTTTGGGTAAAATGAACAATTGTAGCTTGTCTGGAGAATACTGTAAATACACAATACAAATAGAACTTAAACCAAAGACGATACTCTGTATTCTGGAGAAGTGGACCAACTCTGCAGCAGGCCAACCCAGTATCTTTCCCATAAACTCCAAACCCTCCCAGGTGTTCACCTAGCCCCTCTGCCAGTGGCTGCCTGGCTGCCCTTGCTGTGCTAGGAGGAGCCTTCCCTAGACCCCCAAGAGTACCCCATTTTCTGGCACTCTTTAGAGGAGCCCATGTGGCAGGAAGCACCATGGAGAAAGGCTGACACCTTGTGGCCAGCTGGCAGGTTGCACCATTCTCTGGCTCAGATGGCTGGGGAGGGGATGGGCGAACTCTTTCTGTGCCAGCCAGAGCACATAGTCTAGGTTTTGACTGAGCCTGATGGCACAGGATCACCTAGGCTACATGATAAGACTATCTCACCCCAGAAAAATAAAACGAATACTTAGTCTTTGCAGACATGCAATGCCTGTCATTGTCATGACTACTGAGTGGCACTACAGCAGCCATGAAACTATGGACACTGAAATTTCAGACTCATATAAGCTTCTTACATCATAAAGTAGTATATTATTATTTAAATTTTTCAATCAATTAAAAAATATGAAGCTGGGCGTGGTGGCACACGCCTGTAGTCCCAGCACTTGGGAGGCAGAGGCAGGAGGATCTCTGTGAGTTCAAG